CACGCCTCATAGCGCGAAGCGCGTGAGGTTGTGCTTTATACTCGACTCGTCAAGGTCAAGCAATTTTGTGATCTTTAAATTCGTCTATCACAATCATATTACACTTATACAATGATATAAGTAGATTACTCCGAAAAAACACTTAAATTAAACCATCTTTTACTTTCTAAATACATATCTCATGTTGCTATTTTGAAAAAAAAAAAAAAAAACGTTTTGAAAAAAATTTTACGTGGACGTCCGGATGTCATCCCATTTTGGATGTACCAGCGATTACTCCCGAACAAATTGATAATTCAAGACCGGACCTTTTTTATTTTGATCATTTATTTTAATCAATTTTACTTTTTTAGACTGCGTGCACACATATGACAAGAAAAAAGAGCGCCGATATTTAATAACAAAATAAAAAACACTCTGTAATAAGAAACTACTTAATTATAATTTTTTTTTTTTAATCAATTACACAATTAATTTTTTTCTTAAAAAATGAATGAGCGTTATGAGGCGTGCACTTTTGGATTTTCCAAACTTTTTTGTTTTTTAGTAACAGTGAAAAAGAAACTATGCAATGTCTAATGATTTTATTATTAAATAATAGGTTTTTTTTAACCGAAACTTTTTTTATGATTTTTCAAACTTGACATTAAAATTTTAACAATCTTTATGAAAATTCGAATTCTGAATTTTTAATTAAATGTAAATTCGAAAAATCATAATTATTTTTTTTCACAAAAAAAAAACAACCAAAGAAATAAACTCTTTTTAAGTTTTAATTATTTATAACAAATTTAACTATCTTCTGGAATTTAAATGTATGAGTAGTTTATTGCTTTATATACAAATAAATATTTCTGAACAAAATTTCTTATAAATATAATGAAAACATAATTTTTTATAGATTTAAATTTTAAATTCATACCATTAAAATTAATTTGTATTTAATTAAATTAATAGATATATATTTTTTTTTCTACAAAACTATAGAATTTTTTGGGGTGTCAACCACTACAAATATATATTCACTAGTAAGTATACTATAATTAATCATAGTTTATTTTCATGACGTATTAATTTTTCCAGCACGTGTTGTTTATAACTACAAACATGAGTTTTTCAGTATTTAATTCAAATATAATTTTGTGCAGTGGTGATAACGTTATATCATACAACTACAAGACTAAAATTGAATTATCAATAGAACTTCCAAAATTAATAATCAGTGATAATATTAAACTTCATAACAATCTTGATATTGAAGCATGTCATGGTATAACCTCAATAACATTTTCACCTGATGGAGAATATTACTGTGTTTGCACTAATCGTAAGCAACTGTGTCTTTTTAAATGTGCTGAAAATCTTCTTGTGTTTAACAAAACACTAGTTAGAGCGGCTAGTAAAGTTCAATTTACTCCAAACAATGATATAGTAGTTGCTGATAAATCTGGTGATGCTTACCTGTACCGCAATTCAACTGTTGATGATTCTAAAGATGGGACATTAATTCTTGGACATTTATCTATGCTACTAGATGTTTTAGTAACTAAGAATAATGAATTTATTATTACGGCTGATCGAGATGAGAAAATTCGAGTATCTAAATTTCCCAATGCTTATAATATTCAATCATATTGCTTAGGACATACTAAATTTGTGAATAATATTGCCGAACTACCGCATGATCTTGATGTTTTAGTATCTGCTGGCGGAGATGGAGCTTTTAAATTTTGGGATTTCAAAAATGGAATTGAGATAAAATCTATCAGTTACAGAGATAAAATTAATGAAAATGATATTAATAAACTTAATGAAAATTTGCGTAACTTAGAATTGACTGAAGTTGTTGATGAATTGCCAGTGAAATATTTAAGACTTAAAAAAGTTGATGATAATTGTTCTATTTTGATGTTAAGTTTTTATGGTAATGGTAATATTATTATTTACCATGTTAGTGGCACTCTCACTAGTGGATTAACTGTTAACTTTAAACAAAAAATTGACGAAAAAAATGAACCACTCGAGTGCGTATTTCACCAAGAACAATTGTGGCTATTATTTGACGATGGATTTAAAGTCTTTGATCTTCAAAATGAAATTTTTGTTGAGAATACTGAAATTACTGACAATCTTAATCAGGTAAATGAGTCGTGGAGATTATTGAGAAGTAATGTTAATAAATTAAATTTCTACCCTATTCTTTATAAGAGGAAATTTGATACGATTCAAGAATATCAAGAAAGAAAAAAAAGTCGATTGACAAGTGTAATTGAGTAATTAACTTTGTATGTTTGTTATTCTTATTCTGTATATATAATTGTTCAAATACAAATAAATTGTGAAAAAACCACTATTTTTTATTGAAATTATTATTATAATTAAACACATAGATATAAGAAAACTTAATAAACAAATTATACTGGTTTGTAGTCCAACTTAGACTCCAACTTCTTATTGTCAGAAACTTTTCTGACGGCTTTCATAAAGTCTTCCTGAATAACATATTCTCGTTCTAAACGAATTGCAAATAACCCTGCTTCTGTGCAGACATTACGCAGATCAGCTCCGTTGAATCCATCCGATAGTTTAACAACTGCTTCATAATCTGTAATAAATCAATATTTAATACTATAATTGCACGACTCACGATGGGAAGCTTTAGAGTGTGCTTTATGATCGAAAAATTTTTTGTATTTTTTTTTTTTTTTTTTTTACCATATTATGGTGGTCGAAAATTTTTTAAAGTTTTGATATATCATACACGAGTTAAGAGAATTTACTAAATGAAAAATTCAATCTTATTACCTGCGTGGAAAAATATATATGCAAAAGATATGTCTAAACATATATGCTTAGATCTATATGAGAATTTATATAAATATAAGAGACATATTTGTTTTTCACATACATATATTGTATATGCCACATAGATAATACGCATATATATTTCAATTCAGGTATTGGATATTAACAAAATATTCATCGATTCTCTGACTTGAATGACTTTCTTAAAATTTTCAGATTTCCAATAATTTATCGCAGAATTAAATTTAGTGAACAACATAAAATAAAAAAATTACAAAAATAATTTTTTTTCATTTAAATTACTTGAATAGATGAGCCTTTTTATACTAAATATTTTTCTAAATTTATCGAAGTATTAATTATTAATTTGACTCAACAAATTATTATTTTTGATTACTTTTGTAATTTTTTAATAACTTGTTAACATTTAAACCATTCAGTAAATTTTAAAGTTCTTAAGAATTAATCATTTTGATATTATAATAACACAGATCATTTTTAATCATATTAATGATAATTAAAATTCCTTACCAATTTCTCCATGCTTAGCGATTAGAAGTGCGTGAATTTTAAGAATTTCCAAACGTGCCTGTTCATTAGGCAACGGAATTTCAATTTTTCTATCTAATCTTCCTGGTCGTAACAAAGCTGGATCGAGAGTATCTGGTCTATTAGTCGCCATGATCATTTTAACTTGACCCAAAGAATCAAAACCGTCCATTTGATTCAATAATTCCATAAGGGTTCTTTGAATTTCACGATCCGCACTAGTACCCTCAGAAAATCGTCGACCACCTAAAAACAAATGATCGTATCAATACTATTCAAATCCTGTTATTGATATTTATTTACAAATATAAATATGAAAAATAATTTACCAATAGCATCAATTTCATCCATAAATATAATACAAGGCTGATGATCGCGAGCATAATTAAACATTTCTCGAATCAGTCGAGCAGATTCTCCGATGTACTTATCAACTATAGCACTGGAGACAACTTTGAGGAAATTAGCATCAAGTTGACTAGCTACAGCTCGGGCCAACAATGTTTTTCCAGTTCCAGGAGGTCCATACAAAAGACATCCTTTTGGTGGAGTGATTCCTACTCGTTGGAAGAGTTCTGGATTCAATAGAGGCAGCTCTATAACCTCTCGCAACTCTCGAATCTGTTCACTTAATCCTCCGATAGCTGAATATGTAACATCACCAGGATCTTCGTGAGACATATTGTAGACCAAAGGATCAACTTCGCGGGGCAAATACCGCATAATAGTCAAAGTAGTCATGTCAAGAGCTACTCTGGTTCCTGACTTTAATTTATTTTTATCCAGTTGACGTCTGCATCCAACAACATAACGTGGACCATTGGTCGCTTTGACAATAACTGAAATAAATACAAAACATTATGAAATCGATCAAATGATTATTTATATATTTTTTTATAATTCAATTCTTTTTAAATCTTACATTTTTCTTCAGTCAGCTGCTTCAATACTTCTCCAACAATCTAAAAAGAAAATGTTGCTTTTTTTTTTATTTATTTTTAGGTAAAATAAAAAATAAATTACTACTGACCTGGCCTACACTTTGGAGTGCTTTAAGATCATTTTCCGATTTGTCATATTGTTTGGTAAGGTCTTTGAGATGTTCTCGCACTGAAAAATAATAAATTATCAAATTATGAATGCATTTAAGTACATTTACAGAAATTGTATTTGTATCAAACAACTGTTTATATGAAGTTATTTAAAAATTGACAGAATCATGATCCAAGTTGTGAGGTTAATGACCACAAAAGTCACAAATTGAAAACGAAATATATACGGTAAATGAATCAATTTATACATAAAATATTATACATACTTTCTTTTAGCCGTGACTCAATTTCTTTGTGTTCCATAAGTTTTTTTCTATAATCTTGCAGAGCTTTTTCCCGGACGGGATCCATTGCTGCTGCCATTTTCTGTTCTATTTTGCTGTATAATGATGATCCGTATAATCAAACCAGAGGGAACAGCTTTAGAGATGGGCAACAACGAGAAACTAACTGTGAGTGTCCAAACCCAGAAACTGTGGAGACTATAATAAATATCTTTAAAATGATGAATTAAATATTATTAAAAATGGTTCTTTTATATCTATAATAAAAAAAAAAAAATTTGTTAAAATATTAAGCAGAAAATTAAAGTATTTACTAATTTTAGGTTTAATGAATATTTTTATTAAACAATTTGTTGAATTATTTTATTTCATAGCGATGATTGAGAGATGGCGTAAGAGTCTAAGATCTAAAAAAATGTTCTTTACTTGTGTAACAAGCAAATTCTTAATATTAAATGAGTTTAGATTCTCTGATAGCCACACTTACTATAAGGGCCAGTTTTTCAATCCGGGATAAAATTTTATCCGAGATAAAAGTACCGCCAATAAAATAAAAAAAAAAAATAAATAATTCAGCGACGTGATATTGCTCTCAATTAATTCTCCATGAATTTGGTCGTTTATTTAAATAAAAATAAATAAATATATCATAAAAATAATAATAATAACCTATTATTGTGTCATTTAAATTATTTTAAATAATAATAATAATAATAATAATAATTTATTACCAGAAATACAGATATTTGAAAAAATACATAATAAGTGTACAATACAAAATATCTGTCCTATAGAGATGATTTCCATCTGTACATAGGACTGGTACAGTAATTTATATCCATGAACAAAAAATTATTAGCATACAAAATTGAACAATTAAAACTTAAAAAAACTTATTATTATTATTATTTTAAATTAATTAACACAATTATAAATTAATAATAGATATGTCAAACGTAAGATATAAGCTCGAAGGGCTCAAAAGCATAGAACAGCTACCTCTTTGAGCTCATAAAGCTCAAAATAACACATAAATTGTAATTTGGAGCTTGAAGAACTCAACAACATTAAATAAGTGCAGTTTCAAGCGCTTAGGTATAGAATTAGCGGGAAGTTACAGGGATCTCCTTCAGGGTCATCCGTTTTCCTAATTTTTATTTTATTTATTTACAATCAGGAACTTGTCACAGTTGGAGATGAATATTTCTGTGACATTTGGCTAATGTTTATTTATTTTAATTCAAAATAAGTGACTGAATTCAAGGAGAATTACTCGTAGGCAATATCACTGTGCTGAATTATTCATTTTTTTATCATAATGGCAATACTTTTATCTCGGATAAAATTTTATCTCGGATTGAAAAAATGGCTCTAAAAATACTTGTAGTATAGCAAGTTTAGTCAAAGTTAACGTTAAGTTCACTCCAAAACTTGTACAGTAAAAGTTATATACAATTTGTGTTGAAGTTGTATAGTAACTTGACGTTAATCTACTGCCGCAATTTCAATCCAAGTTTTAACCAACTTTTTAATATGATACTAATGTTAGTCGGCGTTTAAAAATTTTTCTATTTTTTTTAACAATCAAATTGCAAGTAAAAAAATAATTTAAAAAAATTGCATTCATAATTTTTCAAATTTCCTACATGTGAAATTTTATCTTTTTATTTTATAGTAACAATTTTTTTAATAAAAATAATTATAAAAATTTTCAGATGTCGGCTAATTTAATTTTCATACATTTTTATCTATAAAAAAGTTATTGTTAAGTTAGAATGATATTTAAAAAAAAAATTACTATAAAATTCATAGAAAAATTAATGTTACTTTAAGTTATATTTATTCGGACCTTCAAGTTGATTAGCAAACCATGATTTAAAAAAGTTTTTTGCAGGTTAATTGTCAATCACTTAAGTGATTCCTTATTTTTCGTAAGAAGTCTTATAAAAAATTAATAAAAAATAATAGGACGATAAAAAAAAAGTTTAATGCTTTGTAAATAAATTTATCAAAGATTTCAGAATATTTCTATATTCAAGAAAATTAAACATCACATAATTTCAGATATTTATTTTTATTAATAAATTATTGAAACACTTTTATACATTTTTGAAGCAAAAAATAAAAATTAATTTAGCTGACATTTGATAATTTTAAGAATTTTTTTTAACAAGTAAATTATGGTAAAAAATAATTAGAAAAAAAAATTGACATGTACAAATTTATAATAATAAAAAATGTAATTTTTTATAAATAATTTTTTGGAATTAATTTATTTGTTAAAAAAAAATTACAAAATAGTCAAGTGATTGCTAACTTCAATGTCATAGCTAAAAACAAAAAACTATTAAATTAATTCAATTCACTCACTTTATATTCATAATTGCAAATACAATTTTACATTTTTTACATTATAAAAATATTGTGTCAGATATAAGTGACTGAAAACGCGATGATGGTATGAGTCGAAGATAGCTCGTCTGATAGTGAGTTTTTTTTTGGTTTGAAAAAGGTTATTTATTTTGATTGTTAGTCTTTTTAGATAATTAAGTAACAAACACCTTATAAAACTTACTCACTAATTTTTGAATTTAAATATTTTAGTAGTCTTCAAATGAAGCGTCTCTCTAAAAAACAATTATATTAAAAATATTATAAACTTGAAAATTCCTGTTATACAGTGACTATTATTTAAATAAGTAAATATGTGATGGGAAAAAAAAATTCAAAAATAGTAAAAACCATTAAAACAGTCTGATAGTGAGCTTGGCTAGGAACCAGGCGATTCGGGTTCGAATCCCCGGTTTAACAATAAAATATTAATTTTTTTGTCACGGCAGTAGTTAAAAATTTTTACTGTGCTTCGTTTTTTTACCGATAAATTACCTACCGATGTAAAAAAGAGACAAATTTCTGATAAACTGCCATATCAATGAGTGTTTTCATTCATTTTGTTCAACTTCACTAAAACTTCACATTAAGACTTTTACTAAAACATTTTGATAAAAGTTAAAGTCAAATTTCGGCCCTAGATTGTATAAAAGTTGGACTGCAACTTAACGTTAACTTTTACAATTGGATGGCGATCTAAATATTTAGATCAAAATCAAAAAATATATTCTTTATATCAAGTTATGATAACAATTATTATTACAAACAAATTTCATTTTGAAGTTAATCAAATAATTTTGGAAGTATATCTTTAATTTCTTGTTTTGCTTTAGCTTTTCAAGTAAAAATAAATTAATAAAGTTATATTTTACTCACGGAAAATCAATAACAATTCCATAGATGTATTTTTTCTGTAAGTTTGACATCGTCTGATTTTATTTTGTGTACTGAAAATTAAAAATAAATTTTATACCTAGCTATAAAAATATAAAACCAAAAAGTATGGTACTGAAAATAACAAATTATTTGATGGTACCTCATTGAACAGACATCTAACAATTTTTTAGATTTTTATAACAATTATATTATAATGAAAAAAATTTAGCGGAAAAATTCCACTTGTAGAAATTGTAAAAAATTATTCGTGTGAATTATAAAAATTGTTTTATTACAATTTCAAAAATTGTTAGATGTCTACTTATTTTAGTATCATAATTCTTTGACTATAATTCGGTTTATTAATTCAAGAAATAAAAAATCGTATATACATGTGACTTTTTTAAAAATACAGAAATAATATGAAAAGTATCCGTATTATTGAACGTATTATGTATATTTATGAAAAAAAATTAATTATTCTACCTTAACTATTTTATGGAATTGTAATGCTTTAACTTTTAAAGATTATACATGTTCATTTATAAAATATAAAAATTTCTCAATTTTTTTATTATTATTAAAAAATTTGTTAGCAATTCTTAAAATTTTAGTTCACAATAAAATTTTGTTAAAATCAATGTGTATCAGTAATATTATTATTATATTTTAATCATCATATTGTCAAGTTTAATAACTAATAGTTATTTACTGGATTAATTTTTTTTATTTTTATTTTCATTAAAAAATTATTTTTTTGTTCTCGTAACAAAAATTTTATTTGCACCGTTACTCAACGTGCAATGTAAAAAAAATTTATTACCTCAACTCAGTTGTTTATTTTTTTTTTTTTTCCCAGATTACTTAACTTTACCTAACTGTGGGGACATAAAAACTTGTAATTTTCAATCAACTTTCCTTTATAATTATGATTTTCTTTCCCTCTGCTATTTATCGAAATAAAATCTTGATAATACTTCAGATGGCGTTTATCGTCGACATGGTTTGACTTGACAACCCAATATTTTTTTTTTATATATTTCATCACAAAGTGAGCCTCAGTGAGCCTGTGAGCCTTGGCTGTTGTATATATGTGCCTACATATAAAGCTATATATTTATCAATTATATATCCATAATATTCTGTATTTCATAAATATATTTCAATTTTCTTCAAAATAATGGTATATTGGATTTTAAAAAAACGTACATTTAAAAGGTATATTTTATTTTCATTCTGCACTTAAAGTACTGGCTAAACAACAATTAATAACAACAAATTGTTACAAGTTCTAATTGAAAAATTTTTTTTCACAACACTATTGAGTTATATTGAATAATAAAGTTACGTATAATCATTAATAAGATGTTTTATTATTAAAATTGTACTGATTATACTAAATCAAAATAATTCATAAAATCTGTTTTTATAAACAAATTTAATGATCTATGACTTTTTGAACTTTTGTCTGTGATAGTAAATAAAAAATATATTTTTTATAAGCTTTTAATGATATTAACAGTAATTAATGGTATTAAGTTTTGAAACGTTCAGTGCTTGGATTTATCTATAGTTATACAAGAATGAAATCATACAGGTACTTTAATTATTAACATTTTAACAACAATAGAAAATAAATATTTTTTAATTTTAATATTAATAACAAAAAGAGTTTTAAACTCTTTGTACTACACTTTGAAACATAAATGTATATATTCTTAATTTGTATTTAAATGCAAACAATAATTACTTTTAACAAGTACACTGTTTATGTTGTCATTATGACGTTTAATGTAGTGATTCACTGTAAATCATTAATGCTTATACATATACTAGTTTTATTCACACTTTTTTAATGCCACATGGAAAACTGCTTGCTTTACTTGATTGATTTTTTCATAGGTTGCACGTTGACAATAGCTCCTGTTGATGTTTTAATCCGCGGTTAGTACTTGGTTTCTTCAAATATTTACGGATTAATCTATACAACACTATTAAAAAAATAATACATAGTCATTTGTATTAACAAAAAATAAACAAAAAAAGAAAAATAAATTAATATAAGGATTCTCTACTGCTTTAATAAAATACATTTTTTTGGGTTGTAAATTATTACTAACAAAATGCAATGGATATACCTCTTAGCTGGTTTCGTGCCATTCGTCATCCTTGATATTTGGTATATGGGAATGTAAGTTGACTTATACTTGATTTTAAATTGCAAAATCATGTTATTCATCGTTTGTCATGATTATTTTAAAAGCATTTTAAATATATTCTTTTTTTTTTTTTTTTTCATCCTTATTGCGTCATCTACAAAAATATAGAAATATTTAAAAAATTTTTTATTAAATAATTAATTATGGTATTTAGCGTATCTTTATACTATCAAATTTTCTACTCTTTTTATTTTATTTGATAAATTTATTTTAGACAGTATGTTTTTGATTAAAAATTTATAAATATTTATTCATTCATTGGATTTTTGTATAATCACAATTTTGTAACCTCATATAAATAATTACAAAACAAAAAAAAAAAATTTAATAATAATAATAATAATAACTGATAAGTTGCTTTGTATTTTTACAGAGCCGCACTATGGACTATAAAAATAATTATTATTACTTACATAATTATATTTGGTATTTGTCCGTTTATATTTCATTACTCATACAGTTTCCAACGTAAAATACTTTTTTTAAATTTCGGTAAGTTTTTATATTACATATTACATTATTTATAAACTGATAGTTTAATATTTATTATTTTTTAGTACACTGGCCACCTAGTCTAGACTTTGAAAGACCAGAGTCAATTGGATTGGAAGGTGTAAGGAATTTTTATTTACACACTGATGAGAATGTTAAAATTGGAGCATGGTAAAAATATAAAACTTTAATTGTTATTGTAATTTTAATAATATTAACAAATGATCATTATTACTTATAATAGGCAAATGCTACCTCGATCTTTACTCAATGACTCTACAATACTCAATGACGAGTACTTTGAAGCAACTTTAGCAAATGCAAGTAAACCAGTATTTTTATATATGCATGGCAACAGCGGAAACAGAGGAAGTAGTCATAGAATCGAATTATACAAAGTATTCCAAGACCTAGATTATCATTTAATTGCTTTTGATTATCGAAGTAAGTGTTATTATTGACGATAAATATAAAGTTTACATAATATTTACATAATATGATTGTATAAATTTATTTTTTATTTTAGGCTATGGTGATAGTGACCCTGCTGAATTATCAGAACTTGGAGTTGTTACTGATAGTAAATACGTAGTACGCTGGCTAATGAATAAAGTTAACAACAGTGCGCCTGTTTTTGTGTGGGGTCATTCACTTGGAACTGGGTATAATACTAATAACAATACTAATAATCGAAATAATAATGAAATTAACCGCTAAATAATACTTAATAAATATTTATTTTTGTTGTAGAGTGTCCTGTCATGCTTTAGATTTATTAGCTGCCGAAAATATACATCCTGCAGGATTATTTTTAGAATCTCCTTTTAATAACATTGCTGATGAATTACGATGTCACCCTTTTGCTCAAATATTTAGACATTTACCATGGTTTGATTGGATAATTGTGCAGCCGTTTTATGGAAATAATCTAAGGTTTGAGTCTGATAAGCATAGTGCTAATATAAAATGTCCCATAATGATACTACATGCAGAAGACGATAGTGTTGTACCATTTAATCTAGGTGAAAAGGTAAAATAATTTATTTCAAAACTTTATTTATTAATATAGATAAATGTTTAAATAAATATCCACAGTTAAAATTTTCGATAATAATATTTAAATTCAAACGAAAATTGATTAACTTAATTACAATTTATTATTTAAGTTATATGAAGATACTTTGAAGTCACATGGGAATGATACGGAACAAGTTCAAATGGTTCGAATAAATGCGTCATTAGAGCTTGGTCATAAATATATATGCCGATACAAACCATTACCGTCAATTATACAGTATGTATTAATAAAATTATAATATTAATGCTCATAAAATTAAAGAGCGATATTAATTAATAATTATTTATTTCAGGAACTTTGTATTACAATCTGTAAAAAATCAAGTTCAATGAAATGCTTTAATAAGTCTAGCATCGTATAAGTGTGTCTATCAAATCCAAAGAATATGATGGTTTCGTCCATTTTATATTTTCAGTGATTTAAAGAGAATATAATTATTTTTCTCAGTAGAATTACTTAGGAAAAAATACAACTGAGATTAGAAAATTATATTTTTTTTTAAGATAAATTAGAAATTGTTATTTATTTTTTACTTTAAATGGTTGATTAAAGTATAATCGGCAAAACAATTTAACTATTGGCTCTCTTGGTATTAATTGATAACTTACTCCAATTGAGATCTACAATATGAAAAATAGATAAATTTAATCTATTTGAAAAATATTTTTTGAGTGAAGTCTTCTAGAAAGTATTCTAGAAATCTTATAGTATCTATTGTGTCAACATATAATTATAACCCTTGTGAAATTATTTACATTTGTGTATAAATTAATTTATTATATTTAAAATTGTATTTATAATAAAGTGTGTCTTGAAGTTCTTAAAATTATGAAATGAATAAATTTTTTTACAAATCCGCGTGATAATTTTCAATTTATTGAATCTTATATTTTTCATGCAGTCTATGTGTAATGCTGTGTACTCAACTAATAATCCAGAAGTTTGTGAAGAAGCTTCATCTGTCCGAAAAACTTGAATTCTATTTCTATAGTATTTTCGTACAGAACTTCTCAATCATAACATATGTTTGTCGGAACAGATTCAGTTTAAACTTTTTAATTTATTTATTGCAATAATAATCATGCTAAATAGTAGCTTCATTCTAACTATATTTAAGCAGAATAGGTATAAATAATGTTGAAAATATAAATATCTTGATGCCATGAAAACCGCAAGAGATGCCACAATAATATGTATTTTCACAAATTTTTTTTTCTTATTACTTACCTATCAAATAAATTTTGAAATCAAATAAAATTAAGTTTTCAAAAAAGAGCATGTGATTAAATATTGCGGAAGTTTTATAATAGCTTATACAAAAATGTTTTGAAAATGTAATTAGTTAAATAAAATTGCTAAAAATACATTTACTATATTAAATATAAATGAAATTCATATTTAAATAATTTACAGTTGAGATTGATTTTTAACAAAAATCTGTTACTTGATTTATGCGTAATAGATTTATCGGTAAAAATTATTTTTCTTGTAAGGCAAAACATTTCTTGAATTTGTATTCATCATCAGGAGCGACTGTTAATTGTCTGTTATTTTCTAGATCCTAAAGAAGAATTCACTTCGCAAAAATAAAAAATTCAATGTATTTTCCTCCAACAAGATGTTCTTCTTCAATCTAAAATCTTTTTTTTTTCTGTTTCAGGTAATTTTAATACTCATAGAAGAGTTAACATGATTCAAGAGAAAACATTTTAGACCAAGAAAAGACCAATCAAGCAGACAAATTCTTGAATTATAAAATTGTTCTTAGTTTAATTAGATTATTTGATTCAAGAATTTTTTGTATTGATTCAAGAGCATGAAAATTTTAGATATAATTTCTCAGTACCAGAGTTTTTTCTTAAATCATAATAATTTTATCGGTAAAGTTAATCCATCGGTACGCTAATGAAAAATTTTTGGTGTCAATATACAAATACAATATACCAATATTATTCTTACTTTACATGTTGACATTTTTTCGTTTACGTATGATTAAAGATTGATGATTCAATCCGTGAGATTAATTAATTACATACTTAATTCTAATTTAAATAATAATTTAAAAAAGGAAATAGCTGGTCTTATTAAAAAAAAGAGTCTGGTAAATTCACACCGTATAAATACAAGGATTTACTTGTAGAATAAATCGCCGGATTAGATTTTTTTTATTTACTTACTTAAATAACTACAACAAACTTACTAAAGTCAATTCAACATTTTATAGTGATTAAATCATCTATCAAGAATTTTCCCCACTTTTATTACATTACCTACACCATAATAATTTCTTACATCAGTTCATTGGTTCTTGTTTTTCGTATCTTCAGTCTTCAGTCACCTGCGAACCATTCAGTAGTAACAACGTCTGATTGTCCTTCTATTAATTAAAAAACCTATTTTTACGCTGTGTTGTTTTACAAAATAAACTTAAACAATATAAATAAATAAATAAACAATCAACATGATTCCAACAAATGAAAGTTACGAGCTCAAAGAAGTAAAATCTCTCATCAAAGCTTTGATCATCTCAAATAAGGGCGGGATGCCAATTAACAAAATCGATGGTAACTATTTTTTTTTTTTTGTCATATATTGTCTTTAGGTAATAAATTTTTTTTTTTTTGTTACAGATGAGTATCACTGTCAAACGGGTGACTTTATTCCATACCTTCGCTTAGGTTTCACCTCTCTTTACGACATGCTTCGTAATTTTAACGGCATAAGAACAGAAAGGAACGAGCTTGGAGACGTCGTTTACAGGGTTGTGGATCTAGGACGCATGGCGCACATCGATGACCTTGTGAGGAAGCAAAAAGATGAAGTAATTCGACCTGATCGAAAACGAAAGGATCGTCTCACCCGACTTAACAACAACCAACCACAACCACCCAAAAAAGCTAAAAACACTCATCCAGCGTTTAATAATTTTATCTCTGGTAATTATTATTCATTATTTATTTTTGAATATTTTAGTTAATAAATAATAATTATTTATTTATTTTTATTTTTAATTTATCAGAAGGAGAGGATTCTGCGTATGAATCAACGGCGTACGACGATGACAACCAGAGTCCCATAAGAATTGAAGATCCTCCTCGGGATTTAGTAAGTTTTTTTTATTAATGATAATCATAATCATTTTTTCATTTATTATTTATTATTTATTATTTACTATTATAAACTTTCTGATTTTATAGTTACATGTTCACGAACCTTTGATGAACGGTCAACAGTTGATCGGAGACGATTTCTTTTTACAACTCGCAATTCGCAATTTAAGACGTCCAATCTGGAGAAAAGCTCGTAAGAATTAGTGTTCTTTGATTTTATTTTTAGATTTTTAATAGTAAGAATAATTTTTGATTTGATATGTAAATTTATTTAGCATGCACAGCTCTTCATTGTGGATTGTGTATTTCTGGAATGACGATTCGTGCGCTCACCAACAAGATTCGCCGTATCAAATCGATGTCTAATAAAATTATTATATTAATTGGGGCTGAAGACGTCTACAAGGTAATTATTTTTTTACTTTGTTTGTAACATATCAAGAAATTTATAATAAATTTTATAGAATTGAATAGATTAATAGAAATTTTAAAAATCTTTAAAACTAGTAGTCTTTATATTCTTAATGAAAAATTTAATAAATTTTAGTCGAATTAAAAAAAACGATTCAATATTTTCATGATATACTTAAAAAATTGAGATTATAAATAAAATTAACTATTGGCTTTAAAATAATTATTGTAATTAGTAGAAAAATTCTTGATATTGATAATTTTAATTCATGCTCATAAGTGAAAAAATAATCAATTTCAATAGAATCACAATAATTTTTTCTACGGAAAATATTAGTGAAATTGTTAAACTGATGTCATTGAATAGTTATTTTTGTTTTTCAATAACATATAACATATTAATATATTGGCATTGAAATTCCTACTCGATTCTAACTAATGTGTGTACATAATTTTTTTTTTTACAAATTTATTGTTTCCACAATAATCTTCCGGATTTAGGATTTGTTTCCATATGAAATCATATAAAAATTTTTATTTAACAAAATATTTATTATTATTATTATTATTATTATTTTATAATTAGGGTCATTCATTTGATGAAATGAAGTGGGACTTTGACGATATGATAGATTTATTGCATGTGCGGTTCGCTTTTTCACGTGATGCAATAAAATTATGTACCATTCCACCACTGGCCAACCTGGGAGTCTATTCCAACGGAAATAAGCTAGAAGCACTCCGTTGTTTCAATAACTACTTAAGATGCTTCGCTTCCAGTAATAATTATGGTTTAGTGGATTTCTCCACCCACATGACCAACCCAAATTTGGACACAGAGTGGGACTTGTTCCAGCTGGATGCCAGAATGGTTTCTGGAAGTAGTCATCCTTACGTTCTCTGGAACAAACGAGGTAGATGTCTCGCTGTCAATCTGCTGGCTCGCCCAGCTGAACCTATTAATAACGATAATGATAATTACAATAATTGTAATAAATACAATGATTGTGATAATTACAACAATTGGGATAATTACAATAATTGTGATAATTACAATAATTATGATAATTACAATAATTTGAATTATTGTTATTAATTAAACAAATCTATTTTTTATATTTATTAATTAGCATAATTTATTTTTTTATTTTCACTTCATTACTAAACTCATTTCATGTTTGCCATCATAGTTTAATATTTATATTTATTTTTTTACTCTAAATTTTTAGCTAGTCATAAAATTATGCTAATTAATAAATATTTATAATAAGTTTAATTGATATACAAATTATAATAATTTGTTTATGCAAAAGGTATGGGTAATATTTTTACAAGTAAAATGTGATAAGTTATGATCGTTTATAGTTTAAATGTTAATAATTATGTAAATCCATAAAATTATTGTAGTGATTAATTCAAATCAATTTCACTTAATCACTTGTTTATAAAATGAGTAATCAATTTTGGTAATTTTTTACATTTTATTATATCAAATAAAAATATATAATAAAAATAATCGAGAGTAAGTAATATATTTATCAAAGTCCAAAAAATAATGATTTTTTGACTTTATAAATAATTCTTACGGATTTTTATTATTCATTTTTATTTGATAATAAAAGATGTAAATAATTGATCAATTAATTTTTTCTTGACGAAATAACTACAATTTTATGGATCGCACTTATTTAATAATTGTCGTTATCTCTCGTTATTTTAAAAATTTTAGTTTAATTGTTAGTTATTTATTTATTTATGAGTAAATCGATCGATCGGTTAGGTATAAGTTTAATTATTTATTTATTTATTTATTTTTAAGAATAATTATGTAAATACAATTATGTGTACTTAGAATAGAATTGCTGCGAGTACTCGCCAAAAATAATGCAAAGGCTTGTCTGTGAATAAATTTATAAATTGTTATTGGTGCGCAACAATTACAATTTTATATTTATTTTAATACTAGACTAGTCTTTATATTGTTAAATGGTAAAAAAATGTAAGAGTGTGTTATAAATTTATGTTAAAGAGCGAATGAGTATGAGAGATAAATAAAATAATTACAACAATAACAATTAATAAGCATTAGTAGGTGATTCAATTCATTTAGAACCACGGATATTATTTATATATTTCTTCGAAAAATCTTTTTATAATATTTATTTAGAACTATTTTAAAAAAATTAATATTGTGATCCAAAAACTTTCCTGATATAATATCTTTAAAAAAATGATTAAATGCATGCATTTTTCTGACTATCCCAATAAAAGCGACACAAAATTTTTTTTTATAATATTTTGTTCAATTTAAGATGATAATTATTCATTTTTGATTTTTTGATCAATAAAATCTTCCAATAAGTCAATATTTTTTTTGTAATTTTTTATATTATATTTTTAATTTTTAAATTTTCGTAGTTACAAGTTATTTTGTGGGACTTACTCACCTTTCAGAGGGAGTCTCTTATGTGAGTTCTTTAATAATTTATCTAATATACGATAGAGTGCGCTTCTAGTTCAAGCCTGTGGCGGTACTGTCAGCGCGGTCACGCCTCTAGTGGTAGACTCGCAACTAAAAACGCCTCAACACCGCCAAGCGGCAACAACTGGGACCACTCAACGTACTGTAGATCTCACACGGATATACACAGATAAATCGCTGAAGATACCACCACAGCTGTGGCATCCAAATCATCTAATTAATCCAATTAAAGTTTATTAAATAATAATTAATCATTTAAATATATTTTGTTGACTAATAAATAATAATAATAATAATCGTATCACTTTGGTCTAGTAATTTTTAGTATAGTGTATTCCCTTTGAATCCACAAGCCTTTTTTATATTTTCAACAAATATAAAAAATAAACTCCATTGTATAGATGTATGTACATGACAATAATAAAAATATAATATTGCGTATACATACCTACTGTTTATAAACAGATAATACAAAATATAACGTTTCAATTTGTTTAAAAATACATATAAATACACATTATAAAGGTAAATTGTCTAAATTTTTTTTATTGTTTTTTTTTTTTAACAAACTTATTCAATTTGTAATTCTAACCTACAATACCGGGTCAATATAAAATATTTTTTGACAACTTGAAATTAATTTTCATATTTTTTCTAAAAGTTTTTATGTCTACTAATGAATATCATTTATAATTAGATGAGCAGAAAAGAAGCATTACAACAATTTATCCATCAAATTCATGGAAGGCCGGTCGTTGTTAAATTAAACAGCGGAGTAGATTACAGAGGTAATTAAAAAATTTTTTTTTACATTAAGAATATATAATTTCAAGTGTTAATTGATTGCAGGAGTATTGGCTTGTCTTGACGGATACATGAATATTGCTCTCGAACAAACTGAAGAGTACGTTAATGGACAATTGAAAGATAAATATGGAGATGCATTCATCAGAGGAAATAATGTTCTTTATATCAGCACACAAAGACGTCGAACCTAATTATGTTGTTACAAAATACATTCTTTCTATTATAAAAGTAAATTAATCGCTTTTTCATAATAAAAGAAAAAAAAAACTCCATTTTTTATAATCAATTCTTTTTAATCAAAGTTTAGTTATAAAATACATATACAAAAAATGAATAAAAAAAAGATATTACATTTATCACTCTCAATAATGAAATTTTCAAGTTGAATGAGTTCGTTTTTTTTGCTGAGCAAACTGGGTAACTGCTTCATTAATTTCTCGTTCAAGTTCTTCGTCAGTTAATAACGACCTAGGAGCATTTGTATTATTTAAATTATTATCGATTGTACTTGAAAGCTGTTGATTCACATTAAATATTCCAGTATTCTGAATATCTGTATAATCCGACGATTGAGTGTCAGAATTGAAAATAGAATTGATTTCTTCATCAGTAAGTGTAGGAGCTTGTTCTTTATCGTTTGTAGTTGGTGTTTGTACCTTAGAATTACTTTCATTTGTTGGTGATAAATTGTTAGAAGGACGGGATACTTCTTCAGCAATTTCTATTTCAGGAGATGCAATGGAAGCTTCTGAAAATTTAGCTCTTTTAATTTGTCCATCTTGTTGTAATTTAGCTCGTCTACGTTCAATGGCCTGCTGTCTGTTTCTCTCAATTCTCTTTTTAATTTCTTCTTCAGACTCTGTTGTATTATTAGATTCACTGTTGTTAACTTGCTGACTACTACTTGATACTTTTTGACTCTGTGAATTCAAAAGTGAATCAAAAATATCATTATTACGTTGAGTAGTTTCAACAGTTGTCGCTCCTTGTTTGGTCTTTTCAATTTGTTCAGCAATAAGTAAATCAAACTCATCCACTGGCTCTGGCGATTTCTCTCGTTCATCAACAGCATCATCTTCATCCCGTATAATAACTTCATCAAGCATCATGTCTCTGCGATACCTTGTAAGGAATGTTTGAAGTTCTTTTTTAGTTCCTAAAGCTTCAAGTTTCTCAATAAAATCATCAAATTGGTATTTTGGAAATAATCTATGACCCCAGTGCTCCAAACGTTTCATAACACGATTTAAATCATGTTTTTCATGCCCTTTACCGTGAAATTTAAATCCTTTAAAATACTCTTCAATAGTATGCACACCTTTAGGTCCTTTCAATCTTGCTGGATTTAACTTTGGTATAGGATTGCGAACAATACGTTTTTTCGAAGTCTTTGGATCAATTCTCCTACCAGCTTCATCATTGTTTTCATTATCATCTTGTTGATCATTGTTAATCGGTTCATTTTCATTGTTATCTGAATTTCGACCTTCATCTTCCGAAAGTGATCTTTGATCAACTCCATCATTTAAATCATCAATCATTTTTTTATATGTATAACGTAAATAACAATCGAATCAGTTAAGATTTTTTTAATTATATAGTACAAATGTTATCAATAATCGATTTTTATTTACCTATATTGAAAAATTTATCACTAGAGATCTACCAAATGTTATCACGTTCACGTGGACTGTTAAGCAAGCCTTCGCCAAATCTAAAAGACAAAAATGAAATAACAATGAGTGTTAAAATATGACAACTGTAACTTTAAACTAATAATTTAACTATATATTTAAGTATTAACCAAAAAAATTATATAAATATTTGTAATTGAGTATTACCGTAAGATAACCTCACTTGACCGCTTGTATATATTTTCTTTATTAATTCAACTATTAAAATTCAGCTTCATCTGCATCCTCTTTATCAACAGAATCTTCAGAATCTAGAAATTTATTAAACTCATTGGTTTTACTCATACGTTCCAGTACAGATTCTAACAATCGTTTATTCAATTTATCCGTTTGTGTTAATTCACGCCCTTGTTGTTGATAACTGTCTCGTTGCTCAGGTTGATTTTGTCCATTTTGCAATCCATCATTCACTTTCTCAACACCATTATCATTACTTTTGTTAATTGGAGTCCCCGGCATATTTAAAATATATTACAATATTTTTACTGTAATTTATTGTTAATCAATTTAAACTTTAATTCTTCGATAAGAATATTTATATATGTGTATATTTTTATTTTTTGTAACTGGAGACTGTTGCGCTTGCGCAGCATTAAAAAAATCGACAATTAATTTTATTTAATATTTAACCAGATTAATTATTAAAAGTTATTTAATAATTTATTCACTAAAAAATATTGGATTAATCAAATGCAAATATTAATAAATTTATCTTTACCCTTTCCATCTTATTAAAAATATTTAATTAAGTTTTAAATTTACTGCCGGAAGTAAAGCGATTATGAGTTCAATTCGAATTTATTGTAAAACTAGACGAATTTTCAATGACACTGAAATAACCAAACATCTGATGATTTATATAACTTTTTTTTTAACAGACAAATTTTTATAAAAAAAATTTGAGATAAATTTTCTGCTGATTTTACATCATAATTTTTCCATCAGTTTTCAGTTTTTAAAGTTCGTTTATTATTATTTAACAGTAATTGATGAAATATTTTGACCTACATATTTATTTAATCATAATAATCTCAATCCTTCAATAAAATTATACCAATTTTTTATATGTTGCATTTTTATTGATGTTTCATGGGGTGAAAATTGAAAAAATTTACGAAATTTTTCTTAGAGTATCCCGAATATTTTATATATTTCTTTTGGTGTGTATTCTTATCTTATCTTTGTACTATTATCTCTTTATCTATTAATGTATATTTTTAACATTTAGTGACATCTCTGGTACGATAAATCAAGAGCTAATTGATGAATTCTGAAAATAATTTTAAACTTATGAAATTCTATTAAAACAAAAAAATTGTTGTTACTAAAACTAAGAAGTCACTAAGAAAAAACCTTAGAAAAAAAATCACATGTAGAAATTTCAAAAAAGTATAAACGAATTTTTTGAAATTATTTTTTTTTTAGTATTAATTTATTTGTTTAAAAAAAAAATGGCCATATATTTACAGATATCAGTATTTATTGATATTGGTTAATTACTGTAAGAATCGTTGTTATAAAAAATTTGTCAAGGCGCTTTCTGTACAATTTTTAAGATTTTTTTTCTCATACTTTTTTAAATTACTTAAAAATTTTCAAACATTAGTTGCTTGCTAATAAAGAAGATATGAAAAGTGATGAACCAATTCTTTGAGCCGATTAGGATTTCAAACTTCGATAATGAACATGATTATTTTTTTATGAAATCATTTTTAACAAAGATGCAATAAATTATTCTGATTCACTAATTTAATGCGTTTCATCTCAAGTAAAACTTAAAAATATTTTCGTAATTACTAATAATATTTATCTCGTAATTAAAAATAATTTAATGAACTTTGTAACCGTATTATGTTTCTAGATGTCTTATTTAAAACAAAGAGAAAAATATTTTCACGAATATAGCGTGGTGTCCAAATCCGCAATTTACAAACTTATATATACATATACTATTATGTAGGTGTTCAATCAGTATAGAATTGCTAAATAAAATAAACAAAAATTAGACGTGTGAGATAAAAAAAACTAAGTCAAATGTATTTTATTAGACTTAAAAAAAAAAATGAGGCTTCACGTCAATAAATGCTTCAATCAAGATTTCTGAGATGTATTTTATGTACAGTGTCAAAATACTTATGATAAATATCAAGAAAAAAGTAACATTTGTCCTAAATAATAATTAAAACTCTTATTATTAAATTAAAAATTAATAGATGAAAGATAAATTAAATTGTGAACTTTATTAATCATATAAACGTTATCAGAAAATGACGAGAGATTTCTTTAGTGGGCAAGAGAAAAATAGAAAAATAAAAAAAAAAGTAAGGTACACAAATAAAATAGAAGAGGATAGAAGAAGGATCACGCGATAAAAGTAGAGGGGGTACAACGAATCCAGCGACGTGTTTCTGTTTGGGGTTATGCACCGTGTGATAATTTAATGCACAAGTGAGCAAGCGCATAGAAAATTTTATTAAGAGAGGGTAGTATGGAGACTTTCCTCATTTTTTTTTAACGAACATTAGTTTACACGTGGTACAACGTATACAACGATGATACGCAATGCTGTGATGAAGCGCGTTGGGTCGTGATATGGTCCCGGTATTTTATTAAAATAAAAAATAAAGTTTAAAATAATTTAATGGGACGAACTAGTTTTGTAACGAAAAACGTGGTGTATTTATACCGGCAATAGTATTTGTGTATTTTATATATATATATATTGCCATAACGTGAGTAGCGGTAGTATCGTAAATACCGTTAAATACTGTTGCTTTATTATAAGTGGTTGTAATTGAAATAGCGACTATCATATAAAATTCAAAAATTATCTTTGGTAAGTGTCTACAGTATTATATAAAACAAAAAATTTTTATTGTTGAATGAGTTTGTGAATTATTTATTGTCGCATATTTATATTTATGTAATATAGCTCAAGTTTGGACATTAGAACCATAAAAGAGTCGTTATAAATATAGTTATATGCTGGTACATAGTTCCAAGTATATCATTTTAATTTTATGTGCTACTTATTACTGAATTGCTTATTACCATACAAAATTATTGCTTATTTCAGATAAATTTTATGAGTAAAAAGGAGTTTTATTGCTGTTAAAAAGTTTACCGCTAAAAAATGTAAGTGTGACGGCTATCGATTGATTAATTGAGTACAAAAATCTTGATGAACAAATGTGTACCTTATGTTTATTAATTTTTCTTTTAATGAAAACTAATAATGATTTTACGTCTTGTATATGTTATGAACGAATGACCACGTGCGCACTTGATATAACATGCTTTATGACGTGGAATCATTGATAATTTTTCATCCAATCCGATCGAAACGCGTGACCTTATTACTGATAAATGCCTACTATCTACGTAATTACGCATTTTTGCGGTTCAGCGTTATTTTTATTATAATTTAATCATTTTTATAAAAGTTTAAAAATTCAAATAATTACACGAGTTATTTAAAAATTTATTTTTGACAATTTACAGGGTTTTGTAAATAAATAAATTAATAATACTAAAAGCAAAAAACATCTGGCAATTTTTAGAATTTTTTTTTTTACGAATAAATTATAAAAATATTTTTTATTTTAAATTTCAAGTGTCGAAATTTTGTAACATTACGAATCCAATTTTTAGTAATAAAGAAATTCATTGTATAAATTATAGAAGATCGTAATGACTTTTATAAATTTTACCAGAATTTACTTATCAAATAAACATATAATGACGCATCAATGACCGCATTAATAAGCTTGATTTTTAACTCAATTTTAATCATTCCAAGTGTCAAATACCGCGCCACATAAGTAATTAAATGCATGAGAGTTTGAAAAGCTATTGTTATCAACGTAGTCATTATCAACAGGTTGTACTTGTAGTTTTTAAATTTGTTTCTTATTTTTATGATAATTATCGTGAAATCAGGTGGAATTTCTTATAATAAGTGATGAAAGATGTAATTGTTTAAATATTGGTTAAACTTTTTTTATCAAATATTATTTACAGAGTTTGCTAAAAAACGTCGATAAAATTTAATTTATTCTACCTATTTAAAATTATTATTATTTATTGATTATGGTATCGGTCGTAAAAATTTGTAATTCTAGACTAAAGTTTAAGTGTTTATTAAAGAATTAAAATGAATTACTAAGACGAAATTATACGAAGAACTTTGTTCTTACTTATGACATTGAATTCTCTGATTTTATTGAAAAAAGATTAATGTTACAAAAATTAATTACATGAATACGGATATTAATGATAACGAGATATCCGAAAGTATTAATTAATTACATATACTTCACGCATTAATTAAATTTTAAAAATATGCGTGTGAGGTAATACCGGTGCAAACATATATTTTATAGTCAATGAGAACTTTTTCAAGGTATAGATTTATTTCAATGACAATAAAAAAATTTAAACCTGTTCACAGGGTCAGTCATCGTTGAAAATTAAAAACTATCTATTTTAATTTAATCTTATGTTAATGATTCTTGTATTCAACATCTTTAACAATAAACCACTGGAGTCCATAAATCAAACATGAAAATTTGATTTTTTAAATTTGTAAAGCCAACAAAAAATTAAAAATGATTGAATCTTTGTTCACATGTTCGAGTATTGGTAACTATTGAGAAATAGACAACCAAGGACAAACAAACGATCTTACCTATAATTTTATGATGCATGTAATGTCATACATATTTTACTTTTTGTGATTTATTTTCAATATCATGCTGTTATTAAAAATCTATGCCGGTAATTTCGGTTAATGATACTTTATAAAATGTTATGTAATGAGTAGGAGTGGGGTGATTAGATATTTACTATATTGGACTGTAAAGTAATAACAAACTCTATTTAGATTCATTTTCAAGCAAACAGTTAACGAAAAAGGAGGTATGAAAACTTGTTATCATTTTTTTGTGAATTTTTTGTACTATCCTATAGTTTTATGATAATTTAAGCGAAAATAAATATAAAAATAGATAATTAACTAGTAGCATAGATACGCGCAATTAAAAAAAAAATTATTTTATAATCTTAAATGTAAATTAGTAATTTGATTGAATACAAACTGTAAATTATGTAATGTAAGAGTCGTGTTAAATACAACTTGAATTTACCGCCTGAAAGTAAGGTGATATGCTCAGCTCTATTGATTTCTACCACTTGACTGCGTTATTTGAGGGAGTAAAATACGCGAAAGAATTATTTAAAACGGTGAAATGGTGATTTTAGTATATAAAGGTATTATAAATAAATTATTTATTGATTATTTTTCTAAGTTAACGATAAATAATCTATTGACTGTAAAACTTTTGTAAGAAAAACAGTAAAGTTTGTTTGTGACATGACTTGGTGCACTCACGACTACACAGCAATGTCTAGGAAGTCATAAAACTGTCTCTAATTTTTCGGATATTAAAAAATTAACCATTAATCTTCCGTTCATGTTTAAGTGCATATTAAAATAAAATCAATAAAAATAAATTGTATTTTACCGACCGAAATATTTTACAAAATATATAATTTTTTTATGTAAAAAGGGTATCTAAAGGCGTAAAGTATTGGGCGTAGTTCATTTATTAGATTGTTGCCTTTTCTTACTTGGATGCAGTAATGAAAAAAAAAAAAAAATATTTTTCTTACTTGTTTAAAATATATTTATTCATCATACTAGATTAACAATTATTGATTACCCTTTTTTTTTTGCTAATATTAATTTTTTCGTAGTACTTTTGCATTGAAAAATACCTATCTAGTCTAGATATAAAAGTTACACGATTATTCTAGAAATTTAAAGTAATCTTGAAAGTTAATATTAAAAATATTAACTCCAAAATTCAAAAAATGTAAGTCAGGATATGATATTTTACAATACAATAAAAAACTCAAATTGTGTCATTTTTTATTTGAAAAATTAAAAACGTGATAAAGATATATGACATTTAGAAAGTTGCGAAAAAAAGAAAACAATTTTTTTCTTTTTAAAAATTACTTATATATTAAAGTAACTTTTATATAAAACTAAATTTGGATTCTCTGCAAATTCAACTTAAATCAATCAAGCATATTTTGAGTTGATTTGAAAATTTTTCAAAAACAAGCTTCGATCAACTTCTACAATAGTGAAGTGATAGATCCAAAATAGAGTCAGTTCAATACTGGATAATTTAAAAGTATTGGAATGCCCTTAAAAATTGTTTGATTTGTATGAAAACGGAATAATAATATAATAGCTTTTCTAAATATATGATAAAAAAGTAATATTAATTAAGTAAAACAATTGAAAATTTTTTTAATTAAAAACCTTAAAACAAATATCAATTGATAAATATTAATGATTTATTTTAAATAAGCACCTTTTTTTCTGAGTATCCTACAAAAAATATCAAAGCTAAAACACTTTTGACCTTTTATATATGATAAACAAGCTTGAATTAATCATTCTAATTCAATTTTGCGCATAAATTAGTTACAAAAAAAAAAGTTTATATTTCTAGGTTTTGTCAAAAACAAAAAAAAATTTTTTATGTGTTAAAATTTAAAACTATAAATGTTATGATAAATTAAAAAAAAATTTACTATAACTATAATAATACAGCTGATAATGCGTCATTTATGATTAGATAAATATATGTTATATTGGTGCAATTGATAGTTGAAAGCAATTACTCAATAAAATGCATTATTTTCACGATGCTTTTTGATTAGTGTCGCCTGACGTGATTTAGCTGTCTATATAATAAAACCACATATTTTTCTACTCAATTAATTAATTAAATTATTAAGTCTTTGAATGAATCGTCATTTTCGTAATTCTATCATCTGGCTACAACATTTTTATATATTGTTAAAAATTATTTTTATCCGATTATAAAGTCGAACAATGTGGACTTTGTCTTTTCAATGATTATTATTCGAGAAAAAGCAAATAAAATATTATCATTATCAGTTAATTAATATTTATTTTGTGTGGATTTAATTTTTAATCTCCGGATATCATTTGTATAATTTGATCATTTTTAGGCAATAACATTTTTAAAAATTCGTTTAGTAATATTTATAATAATAATAATAATAACAATAATTATTATTTTATTTAAGATAATATGTCTGCAGTGCAGCCTCAATTGCCCAACGGATTCTTAAATGGATTCTCAAAGGATGATAAAGTTAGTATTGAAAATAAATGAAAAGATTAAATAAATTTATTTTTATTTTATTCTGTTTAATTAATTATTAAAACTTTACATTACAGGCATCAGATGTTGATGGAGAATATATCACTCCTTCCGATACCGGTCGTGATGGTAAGAAATGGATAGTTATTTTTTTTATTCTTCCGTATACAATAATTATTATATTAAGTGATATAGTATAGTCGTATCTCATATATATGTTTTTATATAATTGCTAAATATATTACAGATAATCTATAAGAATAAGTATAATCGTTAAAGCCTAAATTTATTTTTGTACTTGCTTAATTATTTATTTAAATCAAAAATGATTGTCGACAATTTTCAATGAACAACGCATTTTAAAATTATAACTGTTCTATCTAAGCGTAAATTATTAACTTGTCAAGATTCTTCTGAACTTTGAAACTATAATTCTTAACGGAAATTTCCACTTTGAGATAGTTCAAAGTCCGTTTTATACAAATTAAATCGATTATAGAACTATTTCATTATCTGTAAAAACAATAAATTTCGCATTTAGTAAAAATTTAAAGCGTTAAAGTAACTAAATAAATGGTTCATTTATTTAGGACCAGATCAAATACTTGCTTCAGACGTGGATACAACGTGGGAACCAAATGGACGAGTTAGAATAAAATATGATAGAGAAAATTTCAATTCACGAGAATTCATTTCAGTGCCTGGTTTGCTTATGAGAACAGCCAAAAAATATCCTGATCATGTTGCTTTGGTATCAAGAGTTGGAGTTGATGGTAAAAGACGTACTTATACTTACAGGTATGATAATAACAAAAAGCTATTATATTCATTAATCGTTGGCTTAAAGATAGTAATTAGTAATGAGCGGCTCTTTTTTTCTATAGAGAATACGAGGCGGAAGTGAGAATTGTTGCTAAAGCATTCATTAAGTTAGGCCTTCAACGATATCATAGCGTTTGTATACTTGGGTTCAATAGTCCACAATGGTTTATTGCTGATATTGCAGCTATTTATGCGGGGTATTTAATTATTTATTTTTCTATAGGAACTATTGATAAAGAGTTATCGCAATAAATTTATCCTAAATGTACAATTTATATAATTTTAGAGGTTTCGCTGCAGGAATTTATACAACTAATTCTCCGGATGCTTGTCAATTTTGTGCTGAAAACAGTAGAGCTAATATAATAGTTGTAGAAGATAATAAACAATTGGAAAAAATACTGGAAATAAGGAAAGATTTGCCAAACTTGAAGGCTATTATACAGTATGAAGGAGTAGCAAAAGAAAAAGATGTATTGAGCGTAAGTAATACTTGTATTATTTTTTTTTTATAGATATGTAATTATATATTGTATTTACTAACTCTTATTTTTTTATCTTTAGTGGTACGATTTATTAGAAATTGGTCGAGCTGAATCAGATGATAAACTAGATTCTGTTCTTCGAACGATTGGTGCTAATGAGTGCTGTACTTTAGTTTACACGGTAAAAAATTTTATTGTCTATAATTATTCATGATTTAATAAACTAGGATATTTATGATTTTTTTTTTTTTATAGTCTGGTACAGTAGGCCGTCCCAAAGCAGTGATGTTGAGTCATGATAATTTAACACACGATGCACGAGTAATTACAGAGCGTGTAAATTTTATAGACACGACTGAAATTATTGTTAGTTTTTTACCACTGTCACATGTTGCAGCTCAGGTAAACAAGTTATTACATCAATTCAAATTTATTATTAATCATGTATTAATAATAATCAATATATTAGAAAAATTTTTTGATAGTTCTTTTACGTTTCGGAAAAATTTTCTGATGAAAAAAAACTGTTCAAAAAATTTCGTTAGTAGGATAAAAATTTTTAAATGATTTACAAAATTTTTTTTTTTTTTTTTTTTTTTTTTTTTTTTTTAAGGTGGTTGAAATATTTACTAGTATGACCGTAGCTGCAACTGTTTATTTTGCGGATAAAAATGCTCTTAAAGGTAGTCTCATTGAGACTTTAACTTATGCAAGACCTACAGCTTTTCTGGGTGTTCCACGTGTGTGGGAAAAAATATATGAAAAAATGATGTTAGTAGCCCGTAACAACGGTCCAATAAAAACATGGATTGCTACTTGGGCTAAAGCACAAGGACTATATTACAACATGAATAAAATGAATGGTGTTGATTATAAAACATGGGGTTACCTCTTTGCTAAATGGCTTGTTTTTAATAAAATAAAAGCAACACTTGGATTAGATAGATGCAAAATATTTGTTACTGCTGCTGCTCCACTGAGTGATGATATAAAAAAATATTTTATGAGTCTGGATATGCCGATAATGGAAGCCTATGGTATGTCAGAATGTGCTGGTGCTCATACTTTAAGTACTGAAGACAAGTATAGGTATGTCTTAATTATTAGTTCTCTATGTATTATATTATGAATTGTAAAAGTTAAGTTATTTATATTTTTTTGATTTTATTACAGATTAGGAAGTGTGGGAGCAGTTTTAAAAGGTCTTAAAACAAAATTAGATCATCCAGACGATTGCGGTGAAGGTGAAATATGTATGGGTGGTCGACACGTTTTTATGGGCTATTTGAATGCGCCGGAAAAGACTAAAGAAGCTAAAGATGACAATGGTTGGTTACACAGTGGAGACCTTGGAAGAATAGATGCTAAAGGGTTCTTGTATGTAACAGGTAATTATTGTTAATTATAATTTTTATAAATACCTATATAATCACATATATTTTGGCTATAATTACATGCATTTTTTTTTTTTCTACAGGACGAATAAAAGAGCTTGTAATAACGGCTGGTGGTGAAAATATTCCACCAGTTCAGATAGAACAAGTGTTATTGAAAGAATTACCAGCGCTTAGTAATGCTATGCTCATAGGTGATATGAAAAAATATTTGACAATTCTAGTTACATTAAAGGTACATATCGTTTATGTTGTTTATAGAGTATATATTTTGTTAGTAACCAACTATATTTAAATGATTAATGTTTAATAATAGACCGAGATGGATCCTGATACAGGCGAACCTTTAGATGCTCTTTTACCTACTACGATCTCGTGGGCAAAGTCAATTGGAAGCAAAGCAAAAACATTATCTGAAGTTTTAAATACACGGGATCCACTTGTACGTAAAATGATAATTTTTTTTTTATTTTTATACTTTGTTATAATACTTAGTTTATAATTAAAAAAATTTATTTTACAGATTTACAAGGAAATTGATGATGCAATCAAAAGGACAAATGAACAAGCAACAAGTAATGCTCAAAAAATACAAAAATTCACTCTCCTGCCTCATGATTTTTCAATTCCGACCGGAGAATTAGGTCCTACACTTAAATTGAGGCGAAATGTTGTATCAAAAAAATATGCCGATGTTATTGAAAAAATGTACAAGTAACAAAATTTCTGTTTAATCATCTTCAAGTGTCAAGCATAATTTTTAGTTAAGAAATTTTTTTATTTCCTTTTGTTTAGACTATCTTTATCAAAAAATTTTAATATTTACAAACATCTAATACATTCAGATTATTACAAGAACTCGCAATTTTTTTTGTTTGAAATATAACTCAATTTTCTTTGAGTTCTGGCGAAAATTTGTATTGCTCTAAGAACCAAATTTTATATAAAGTGATGCAATTGATACTTTGTTTTTGTTTTCTTTAAAATGATAATTTATTAAAATTTGAATATTCATAAAATTAATATTAAAAGCATCAAAGTTTCTTACTCTCTCTGTAATATACATAGTTAGAAATTTGTTATGTATATAATTATGCGTGGAAATGCTCCTGTACAATCTTAATAGTGTATAAAAGTTAAAAAAAAAAAAAAAAAAGTATCGGTTGTATAATTTGTCGTATTACTAAAACAATTTTATGTAAATTTTGAAGATTTTTGAATTGATAAGTACTTAAATTAATTGTAAGAAAGTGCCTTCTGATATCTGGACAAACATTATGTTGTCTTTCGATAATACTGATGTCTAGGTTTGATTTTTTTAAATAAGTTACACAATTAAAAGAACTTTTTTCTTTTTTCTTTTACTTTAATCATCAATATTTTTAATTGATGAAAATATTGTGGATTAAATATTTATGTGAAAAAATAATATCAATCAGACTAAATTAAGAATATTTCAACATCACTATGAGGAATTTAAACGCTTAGAGAAATAAAACTGAATTGATTATAATTAAAATGCAAAATTTATCAATGTCGTATAGCAAAAATATTATATCATATATATTTATTCGGGATGCATCACAGTACACATTTTTATTTTGTTCGTACTTGAGTGTTACTAGCAAAAGTGCTTCTGAAAAACTTGAATTGGTTGTAGTTGGTATTCGAGTGTGACAATAACACGGTTTGGTTTTCATCTTTAGTATTGTTTTTAAGTGAAAACTACGACTTTTATATTTACCGTCATCAGGAGGTTTAAAAATGTATATAATGTAATATTTATAATAAAAACAAACTTATTGAAAATAACTCATATTTTATATTTTACTTATTTATAGGCATGTTGTGCATACCTAGCTTTTAATTGCGTATTTGATGTATATTGTTCAAAAAAATCAAAGCTAGCTTTTATCTGTTCTTGATTTAATTAAAAAATAGTCACGGATTAATTTTTATGATGGCAATTGCATAATTATAATTAAAAGATTTTTAATTCGTTTGGCTATTATTTGTATTTTATAATTAATTAAAAAAAAATATATTTAGTCTAATGATGCAGCAATTTCTACTGATAAAAAATATTATATATAATTAAAAACTTGATCAATACTCGAAAAATAAAAAAAAAAAATGATAGTTATTCTTTATGGTATTAATCGATGGTACGGAAGTTAGCAGACACTTGACAATTTATTTTCTTCGAAAAATAAACTGGGCCTAGAAAATTATTTTAAATGAATTTGATTTATAATTTTTAGAGCTTTTAACGATTGAATTTTATAAATAAATATTTCTTATTATAATTTATTTGTTAAAAATTTCTAAAAATTATCAGATGTCTCTCAATTTTAGTTAACATATATATCGTTATTTATATAGAAAAAAATGTAATGTTCGGTAACTTTTTTTATTTTAGTAGATTTTGTACCGTTGAAAGAATTGAAATATCAAAAAGTACAATTTTGAAATAAATTTTTATTAATTGATCCTTTTCATTAATTAAATTAAGATATTCACAAATTTTTCGAAAGTATGTTTATAAATGAAACGATAAGTAAATCAGTGATAATTTTAAATTATAAATATGATGCCAAACTATTTTTAAATAATAAATAACTATGATAAAATAAATAAGAAATGCTTTAATTTATTGAATATATTACGTTTACATTAGTGATTACAACACGTGAAAATCTACAATATTCCAAGTATTTTTATTAATCTCAGATTTTTAACATAAATCTGGATTCTTATGAAATAGTCTTACTAAGCACATCACAGCAGCTCAAAAAAATGCAAATCTACCGAGATGTTTAATTTATTTTTGCGTTCATAGTACGCAAAAATTTGTATATCATTAATTATTTAAGTATTGTGTATTTGTAAAAAGTATGTTTAAATTATTATTTATACAGTTATAATACGAGGGTTTATTTGAAAAAATAAATTTTCTTTTAACTTCCAATTCTAATATCTATTTCAGCGTTTTACTGAAACTAAAAAATATTCATATACTATTAATTTGAATAACTTTTTAAAAGTCTATTGTACATTTAAACAAGCTATTAACGCAAAAAAAATGGTAAATATAATTTGACTTTAGATTTAATTTATACAATAAAATGTTTAACAAAGTATGGAATCATTTTGACTATAATTTTACTATTTGACAAGTGTAAAACCAATACTTTATATTAATAATAAAATTTACATGGAATTGTTTTGAGTTACCAATTATTTTTATAATCAGACATTTTTAAATATTATTTAATTTAAATGGCTGTTAATCAATGATTTTATAACCAATATAGTGATAGCAAAAAAAAAATTCTTACGAACTACTTGATGTGTTAAACTTCTGCTGTATAATCGATGTTTTACGTTGAGGTACGGTTTCTGGAGTTGGAATAGCATCACCAGTAGGCAAAACTCCAATTGGTTTAGGTTTTGCAGTTGATTTTTGTTTTGCCATTTGATAATCACCCGAATCAAAAAATTTTTGCTAAAATTATAAAAAAATAAATAATAAAATTAAAAATTCAATAAAGAAAACAAGTAAATATGTATTAGTAATGAAAATAGATATACGAACTCCTTTTGCTAATCTTTTTTGCAAAAAAGCTGAATGTCCACTGATGGGATGGCCAGCAGTAACAGGAAACTTAGCCTTCAATTTAGCCTCTTCTAATTTTTCAATGTCATTTGATGAAAGCTATCGAAAATATATAAATTAAAATAAATTCCACAACGTCACACACTTATGCTAATTGATAGCGTGTTAAGTAAACAATTTGATATTAAATAATTATAATTAAATAATCGGATAGAATAAATAATATTTTTGTAGAATGTTGAATAAAAAATATATTACCTCCATTGCTTGTGGAACTTCAATAGCTGTTTGTTCGTCATTCATTTTAGCACGTTTTGGAATACTATTGTTTTCTGTAAGACTACGTTTTGGACAAGTTACCCTCGGCAGTCACCTCTCGAAACCTCCAAAATTGTCGCACATCGAAACTTCTATTTATTTCATGCGATACTACCGTACTGTACAATTACTTAAAACACTTATTTGGATTAAACCAACTAAAATAATACGAAGTTAAGTTATTTTTAAATAATATTTTTATAACCGAAACTATTTAAATTTATAAATTAAATTATAAATAATAATTTTCATGAAAATTAAAATATAAAAAATAGTGTGTCAAATGTATAGATAAAACTCTACCGAGACAGAACGACAGCCATTCAAGCGCGTCATATTTTGCAATTGCTGCCAACTTTTAGCAAGTAAATGTTGCTATAACAGACTACTGAAATTACTTTTTGACTTTTTGTGGTACAATTTACTTATTGTTGATATTTTACTGCTTCATAAAGAATTTAAGTCATCATATTTATTTAAAATATTGCAATATGATAAAATTATTTTTATTAAAGTAATAAATAATATTTTTTTTTAATTTTTTTTTAGTGAAGTGTTAGTTATTTTATTGGTAGCATTGATTTACTTGATTTACTTTGAAATTTCTGTAAACATCTGTCACCTGAAAAGTCGTTATTATTTTTTTCGTCAACTTGTGAATTACTAATTGATTTTTTTCATTTAAAACAATGGATTTCAGTAAAAAGGTAAGTAAGGTATTGTAAACTTTGTCAATAATCAATTACTTTAATTAATCCTTTTATTATATTATTCAGTCTATGATGAATTCAACGCCGATTTCCATCAGTGGCGATAATACTATTGGAGCTATGAGATATTTATCAGCAACACAAATAAGTTCCAGACCAGAATTTCTCCAAGAGGATACAACTGACGATATTATTAATAAACTCAAACTTCTACTAAATGCTATCCATGAAGTATCAGCGGAAAATAAAGTCCTTGAGAGGGACACTAATAAGATTTTAAGTGCAATAGATTTGGAGCCACAATCAATGTCTCGAGAAGTAAATACAGGGTTGAATAAAATAACAGCGATTTTGAGGAAAGAAAATTTAACTGAAATTGACGAAAATAAATTATTAATAAATATGGAACGTAGAAAGTTAGATGAATTAAAAAAATCACGGGAGGATAAAGATTTGAAAAAAAAATATGAGGACTTGTGTAATAAATACGCCAATATTCAGGATAAATTTCATTATGTACAAGAAAATGTTAATTCTTTAAATGAATTTATTGTTGCAAAAAGTAAAGACAGCGACAATGATTATGCAAGTATAGTTCATAAATCAGCAAAATTGAACGATTACAATAAAGCATTAAGTGACAAGGAACAGGAACTAGCACTCATGGACATACCTCATGATTATCAGAACAAAATATTAGAAAAACATAAAGAGTACATGCAGTCAGCTGGGGAATTAGCTACGATTAATAAATCATTAAGTCAGTACGGTGATTTACCACCTGACATTTTACAAGCACGAGCTGTTGTCGAACAGTTAGAGAAAAAACGTCAAGAAACTAAACGATTACTTGAAGAGAAAATGCACCAATAATTTTTTTATAATTTTCAATAGTTATATTACTCCAAGACTAAAATATTTATTTTTCCAACTTGTTTATTATTATCACTAAAATTATTTAACATTTCAATTAAAAGAAATAATCTTGAATACGAAAAATGACTTATTTATTTATTTACAATATTAACATTAATTTCTTAACAATAAAATTTGTTACACTGAGTTATGCTTTGTTAGAATTTACGCCTCTAGATTTTATAAATTAAATGTAAATGTATGGTAATTTTGCGACAAAATAATTAAAATATTTCTCTTCTTATATGCAATCGAGATTAATATTAAAAATTTACCGCATAATTGTAAATTTTTAATTTAATAAATTAAGAATTAATATTAATTTATAAGATTTAGAGGTATAAACAACTATAAAGTGCATTTTAATACAAGATAAATTTTAACTTAAGTGTTTTAAAATCCATATTTAGATTTGGCTTGATTCCTCGCAAGTTTATTAGCAGCCCATTGGTTTTTGAGTTCAAGCTCCATAGCTTTAGCCTGATGAGCAAGGTATGTAATTTGATGTTTCTTTTTAGACTGACCACTGGGTCCAGAACCAAGTGATACTGGTCTTTGTACTGGTTCTTCAGTCAGTGCTTTTATTAACCAATCTCGTTCGTCTGGTTTTATGTCTTCACCATTGATATCAATTATCTCAGTTTCATTAACGATTTGATGTTTCCGTTTAACTCCACGTTTTCCACAAAGATATTCAATAGCTTTATCATCAAACGCAACATTTCCTTCACTGTCTAAACGGAATTCTTGCTCGGGTACTGGCAGTTTTGGACCAATTGCAGCTTTATTTTTCATTAATATCTCATCTCGCGGTAAATTCATTACTGTACTTGTTAATGTCTTTTGATTTTGACCGTTGACTTCAGGTTCCTCAACATTATTAGTAGTTTCACCAACACAATTCGAAATTTCCATTTTTTCTGGCATTGGTAATAGATGTGATGCTAAAGCTTGTTCGGAAATTGGTAAATTTACAGGTTCAGATAATGAGAAAAAGTCAATACCGCTTTTACTGCTGACTTTTGTATCCTCTTCATCTGAAGAGTCTGAAGCATATGTGATGGCATCAAGGGCCTTTGAAGTTTTAGTTTCTTCAACCTGTTTATTGACTTGGGTATGATTTTGAGCGTTCTTTTTTACTTGAGTTGGTTTTAATGCTAGTGATGTAACTGAACCTGATTTTTTAGTCAAAACATGAGGAACCATATTTTTGGTACTAATTAATTCACTTTTCGGCGGAGGGATATTAGCTAATACTCCTGGTAATCCCTGTGAATCAAATAAAAAATTATTTAGTTAATGAATTTTATATCAATACTAAGAAAATTGAAATAAGACATTGGAAAATTAAAGAAAAATACGAAAAAAAAAACTAAACTGACTTTTTGCGAAAAAAAAAAAAAAAACATGAATACAAAGTGAGCACATATTTGACATTATAGCAACAATTTTTGATTTATAATTTACAAATTAATCAGTTGAAATTAAAACAAAATTTATAATTAACTAATAAAAATATTGCGATTATCGAATGTCTGTTATTTTTACATCATGATAGTGAAATCCAGAGACGTTTGACCATTTTTTTAAACTTTATGCAAAAAACTAACTTTTACACGTAAAATTTTGTTGTTAAAACTTTTCTATAGTAATTCATTTATTAACAACTCCTGAAAATTGTCAAACGCTTCATAATTTCAGTATTATGGAAATTATTATTATTTAAAAAATACATTATTATACCTTTGATGGTTGAGGTTTTCTAATGACTTTGGTCGGTTCTTCAACATCGTCATACTGAAAAAGAAAAAAAAAAAAATATAAAATATTAATTAATAGATTCAAAATTGTTTAATTAATTAATTAAAGAAAATCTTAAAAAAATAACTTACATCGGATAAAGATGGAATTGATATTTTTACTGGCTCTCTGATTTTTTTAATCGGTTTTTCGATAGTTATGTTTTTCATAGACATAACAGGAATATCATCAAGTTCCTCGTCGATTTCTTCGTTAATAATCTCATTTTTAGGTTTTGGGAGTATGTTAAAAAATAAACTACTTGACGAGTTACCCACATCATTACTCGAGTCTAACCTATCATTTTCTTGAATTTTTTGTCTTGGCTCGGGTAGTTTTGATTTTATATCATTTTGGATTGATTTACTATTTTTTAAATTATCAGAACTAATTGTGATTTCAACATTTTTTGTTGTGTTTTCCTTTGGACAATCTTCATTGTCACTTTCATCACTACTATCATATGCTACCAAACCTGCTAAGCTCATGTTGAAAATTTTATTTCAAAATTCAAAACAATTTTAATTCTATTTTTTATCACGATAATAATATAAATTATTTGTTAAAAAAAATTTACAAGCGAACTTTAAAAACTTTGCTATTGAAGGTTAAATATTATTTACGTTTGTAATCGTGTGGTCATTACTCAAATAACCCCTGTGATGCACCCAGTGCATCCAACAGGTGACGCTACCTGTTATTAGAGCGCTATCTATTATGAGAGCGCGAATTCAAACGAAATATTCAAACTAGTAAATATTAAATGATTAAAATTAGTTAAATTTTATATTCGAAGTAAATATTCCAGTCCTTTATTTAATGCTTTTACTCTTACCAGTTGTAAAATAAACATCTTTTGGTTAACTCTGTTTTATTTACAAAAGAAAATAAAATAAAATAAAAAAAAACATATTTCGGTACAAAGGTACATTGTAACCGAATTTTGAAAACCCATAAAAAGTACTTGAGTAATTCAAGGACTCTCGCCAGATGAAACTTAAAACCCTATGAGGAAAAGTCGTAAAAGACACGTGTGAAATCAATAGACCCTTGTTCTAAAGTAACAAAGAATAAAAAAAAAAAACATATGTAACTAAACAAAAATAATATTGTTAAATAACATTTACTGTTAAAATCTAACTTTATATAATATTGTAGTTAAGCAAAATCGAGTTAAAATAATTAATAATTAGTATCTTATATTTAATTTATAACTAATAATTATTAGTTAACTAATTTACTATTAAATCATTATCTAATTATTATTTAATTTATAATTAAATAATAATATCTATTCTTTTATACAGGATAATAATTAAACTGACTTATAATTTTATTAGAAAACTCGAATGTAAAATGATAGAAATAATATTTAATCCAAATTATTAATTATTCAAACTCAAACATTAGTCCAACATATTATAAATAATATAATATATATAGTTTCATGTTATAGTTTATTATAATTTTATTGTAACTTAATTTCAAGTTAATTATAAGTTAATTTTATTATAAATAGATTTTAAAAAGGGTTTGTTAAATTAATAAGAATAGTTGAATAAACATAATGACTGTATTGCTAAAAGTATATATAAGTGAAGTCCAACTTTCAGGCCGATAGGCTGAAGTAAATATATATAGATATAGAGAAAATACATGTTAGTGTATAAGGATCATTATACATTATTCCTTAGAGTGGATGTATGTGTGGAAGTTATGGTGGGAGAAGAACGGAGTTTGAAGATCTTCGGAAAAACTATGTAACGACACTTCTCATCGAGAGATTAGATTGCTAAGATCACGTCATTGTAAACCTCAATTTTATATTTTCAAGCTTTTAATATCTTGTCAACTTGAATAATAAATTAAAAAGAACTAAATAATTTTGATCAAAATTAAACTACGTCTAAATAGAATTCTTTTATTTAAAATTATTCCTTTCCCGCACTGAAACCGAGTATTTTAATACTCCCGGGCGAAAGAACTACAGTAAGTAAAGTTTTAAATAAATAAAAATAACATCCACTAGATGAAAGCATAACAGTATTATACGTATAGTATTTTACGTGCCCACCCCTGATCAGCCTGATCAGTAGTGACGCTTAGGTGTGACATTAGTAAATGGGCGTGTTCGACCAACAAAAATTTCTAATTTTGTACTTAATTTAGTAAGTTATTAAAGTTGTAAGTGTACGCATGTGTACTAACTCACAGTTACAACTTAGGTGAACCGAATGCATCCATTGCCGACGAATTAACAAATGTACTTAGTATACATAAAAGATTAGTATACATCAAAAACGGGACTTGGCGCCAAACTTTACCGGGTCTGTGGATTGGTGACGTTGCAATAAATTTAACATAACCTAACTATTCACATAATGAATAAAATTACCCGCACTAGAAACCGAGTTATTTTAATACCGTCCCGGGACGAAAGAACTACAGTAAGTTAAAGTTTTAAATAAATAAAAATAACATCCACTAGATGGAAGCATAACACCCCACAAAATAATGAAATGATTTTTATTAAAATTATAAAGAGGGCGACAAGAGTTTGATTCTGTGGCGGTCTGAGCGCCTCGAGGCCATCATCGGCCAACACCGGCATCAACCTTACTGGTGCCAACATACCTGACTGGAACTAATTAATTATTATTATTATTACATATACACAACCGACGCTACAGCTGTAGCACTTCAAAAGAGTATTTTATAATAATAATTTGTTCTCAATTATTACTTATAATATAGTTTGTTTACTAAAATATGTTTAACTAATTCATAAATCAGTGTGAATCATTGTAGTGTGTTAGTAACCCAACTTCCTACAATTCACGTCGCGGTTATTACAAATTCAAGGGTTTTAACTTCTAAGTAGTGACATCTGTTAGAAATTATTTCAATAAAAAGAAAGGAATTATAAAAAAAATTAAAATAGCTTACAGAAATTTCACTGTGTAACAGCTGATAAAGAGAGTAATTAAATAGTACATATATGATATAACGTCGACAATTGGAAAGTACGTCAATAATTTATTTTTAAAAATTAAGGGCCAATTTTTCAATCCAGGATAAAATTTTATCCAATGATAAAATATATCTAAATATCTTTCATATATATAAATATTTCTAAACTAATTGACGAATTTCGCTCATGTTAGGACTCATGCAAGCTAATTGTCCAAGGAATCTAAATATACTAAATTTCGTTAGGATCTGTTAAGAATTCTCGATAAAATAACATTCCTAAGTCGGTTGTACCACACATTGCCTGAAAATGCTTCAGTTGCACTCTTAACTTTGATAAAATAACTAAAAATGGTCAAAATGTCAATGTTATATACTTCAAATTAATGGTAATTTCATGAGATATCACATGAATTTTTCAAAAATTAGCTATCTCTGTTCAATCAAAAGTTATACATCAATGAAGTGGCCAAAAACGTGATTTTCACTATTTTGAAAATTTTAAATGGCTGCCATTTCTAAACTAATTGATCGATTTTGCTCATCTTCGAACTCGTTCAAGGTAATTACCCAAAAAATATGTGTACCGAGTTTCATCTAAATCCGTTTTGAGCTTTACTCGACTACATAAGAGATAAAATGACAAAATTCCATGTGAATTCCGACACAAGGACCAATGCAATAGATAGATTTCTACGAAATCTACTTAAAAATTAGGAAAACGGTTGAGCCTGAAGGCTATCCCTGCAACTTCCCGCCAATTCTAGAACTAAACGCTTGAAATTGCACTTATGACGTTTTTGAGCTCTTCGAGCTCATAAATACAATTTGTGTGTTATTTTGAGCTCTCTGAGCTCAAAAAATGGCTTATGCACGCTTTTGAGCTCTTCGAGCTCAAAAAGTTGATGAAAGTTTGATAAAACACTATTTTTTGAATTTTCAAATCGCAATAACTTTTGAATGAATGAACCGATTTTCACGCGGTTGGTGGCATTCAACGCAGTTTTTTAAGCATCATAAAGAATCTTCAAGCTTAAATTGATACAACGTAAAATTTCGGAGTAATTTTCTTTCATCAACGATAACTCAGGAACGAATCAACCGATTTTGACCGGACTGGCGACGATCGACGTGGTTTTTTATGTTAAGAGCTGATTAGTTTTTGGAATGGATCGGTAAAGCCGTTTAAAAGTTATTCCGAAAAAACCACATTTGAAAAAATTTTTTTTTGTAGTTTTTTTGGGATTTCTCGAAATCTACAGGTCCATTGTTCCAAAGTATATTCAATATCTAAGTTTAGTGAAGCCCTTTCGAATGGCACCAACACACACAAACACACACACACACAATGAAATTGGCAGACACTTTACAATTCTTTAATTTTTCTCAAATGATAAACTAGGTTTAGAAAATTATATATAAAAAATTGCACTTATAATTTTTTAGAGTTTTTAAAAATGGAATTTTTCGAATAAGTTTTTCTTACTATAATTTATTAGTTAAAAAATTGATAAAAATTGTCAGATGTCTCTCAATTTCAGTTTCATGATTCATAACTTAATGGGTTGGGAATAATTCGAAAAAATTTAAAAATACTTAAGAAAAAGATGCGGATATTTGGAAGCAAGATTCCAAAAACACTAGTTATTTACAGTAGCTCTTATAACTCCCCACAATTTACTGAAATCGAATGAATCTTCATTTCGTCAAATACTGTGATCAAAGTCCAAGACAACTTATTCAGTTTGATAATTCAAAACTATTTTTTAAGGAGTAAATTTGACCCGAAACTGTGAATTGTATGTATTTTCGATGATGGCTCTTTCGAATTTCTTGATCGGGTTCCACATGTAACTGTATATAATTTTCGTTCAGTAGCAATCATGTCATTACGATAATATCTATATAGGCATATAATTTTTGACGAATTAAAGTGTAATTTTTTTCACATGAAATTTGTAAAATGAACAAAAATGCACAGTCGTTTATTCAAGATATATAATTGTTAATTGTTTAACTTCTTTCATTACTAAATAAACGGTTTTTGTTTCAAACTGTCTTACAGTTGTTTCGTAAATTGTTCAGAAAAAGTAAAATAGTTATTTTTTATATTTATCAAATATTTAAAAAATTATATTGATGCACAGAAAAAAAAATTACAACTTATAACATATCCTCAAATTCTTGCTAATTTGTAATGTTTCAAATAATAATTCAGACTCTAGGATGGTATTTTAATTCTTTTAACACTTACATTGCTGTTATTACTATTTGAAATAGTATTTATTGCTAGATAATTGTTGAATTTTAGCATGTAAATAATAAATATTATAAATTAATTATTAAAATCATGATTTTATTGTTTGAAATGGTATTAATTATTATTTATTATTATAGTTTATTTTTTTCCGTATCACATATCAAAAAAACTAAAGTTATTGAAAAAAAAAAAAGAATACAACTTATTAAAGATTTAGGAATTAATTGGTAAATGTAGTTGAAAAATTAATCACATAAA